AATTCCGGGACTTTCCACTCTGTACTTCCCCACTGACAGCTGCTCTTGCTTAATCTAAAACAAAGGCTGTTAGGGGCTGCTTCTCTGGTGAGCCAAGCACATTTAGATTCCCAGGGTATGTCCAGAATGTCCATCAATCTGTTATCTCTGTTGTCCAGAAATTTGCCCTCTACAGAATAGCACACACTCTTTCTTCATGTAAGCATGCACTGGCTTTCTCCTTCCTTTATACCACCATCTTTGCATTTTAAAACACATCAATCACAACAGTACATTAAATCACATACAGTACATTMAATCACATTACAAGTAACTACACTCATTGCTCTAGTTACATATTTTTACCATTATTAATTATAATTGCAATAAATCGCGTAAGCTCCCTCTTTTTCATCCTCTTCACCTCTCGGGCCTCACTCCGATCTTGCTTGTGACCCCTCTTCCTTTCGTGTTCCTTTCTTCGCTTTAAGTCTAATTGGGGCTCCTCAGGTCTGATTCCAATTCTTCCCATGTTTAGGGCGTCCGGGTCTCTTGACAATGAAGTAGGACGTGACTCACGAAAGAAAATCTGGATGAAAAAGAAAAAATTGTATAGGTCTTCTGGACGGGTTCTTCTCTAATGAAATGTTTCGTCTTTCCTCCAAGAGACTTCTTCAGTCTGAGAGTTTCAGGCAAAATTCAGGCTTTTAAGCACTGCTTCCATGTGACTGATACTCACATCACATGGCAATCGTTGACACCTAATTAACACCTATTGTTAACAGGGGGTGGAGTGATACTGGCCATAGCCGCACTGTAGGAGGGGGACAACTGAAAACGGAGGCCTCCACATCTGTTTAATGATGGACGGTCTTTCTTCACAAAAATGGCTTCTTTTACTCCTCTCTCAAACCAACGTTCCTCTCTATCAAGAATGAGAGTGAAAGAATGACCGCTGGCCTGTAAATGAGTGAAAACTGCAGAGTTCTGGCCATTAGATGTAGATGTAGATAGCCATGTGATGTGAGTATCAGTCACATGGAGGCAGTGCTTAAAAGCCTGAATTTTGCCTGAAACTCTC